TCTACCAGTCTGTACCTTTTGTATGCACAAAAATCAATCCAGAGCAAGCGGAGTAAGGGATGAGGATGTACGTTCGTAATCATAGGCATAGGAATACTCCATAAAATTAACGTCTAGCTTTATTTCTGGTTTCAGCTCTTTTTCGGCAAGTATAGGAATATTTAAGTCATTTTGAAAAATCGTGGGGAATGGTGTTATCGATAAATATTCATCATCAATATTTATTTATCATAAGATTTTGGCAAAATGTAAGATAGTGAAGGCAACACCTCAACCTGCAGCCCACATGACAAGAACGACAAGGGGTCAAGATTAGGCATGTTTAGATCCTCGAAAAGTATTGTTATGTATCGATTCCTTATCGTCTTAGGAAGTATGGATACTCTAAAATATTGGAATAAAATTATCGATATCCAGCGGAAGGAAACAAAGAAGAAAAGCAATCTGAAGTCAGTTACAATTTCGAACACAGTCCGGCTCGAAAGATGACGATACTCGTGAACTGTATCGATACACCCAAGTGTCGTATATAAAAACGTCGATCCAACATATCGGGTATGGAAAGCCTAAGTATCGATACTTCTGAATATAGGATCGTATCGAACGTCCCTACTGTCAAGATGTATCACCCGAGGTACCGAAGCAGCTATTTTGGGGCGTCATGGAAATAATTTTAAATTTTCATTTGCATTTTTTCAAGTGTTGTGCAAGAATTTTGGGAAAAATTCCACAAATATTCTTATAAACCAGGGGAATGAAACGGGATATTAATGCAAAATCTGGCAACCATGTCGCACCCTCAAAAAATGGCCGCTGACAACCACACAGGTCACCGTGTTGTCACTGAATAGCATGAAATTAAACCTTTTTCAGTGTAGACGTATCCCACACATGTGTCACTCGGGGAGTTTTGAAATGAAATAATCAGCTGTTATTCAAATAATGTCTAATTATATAACCTAGAACATGTACCCGTGAGAAAAGTAAAATATGGCAAATTTCTAGTATTTTTGGCAGGTTTTTTTTTTTTTTTTTAACATATAATTGGCATTGGAAGTTATCCATTTGCCACAGATGTGTGTTACTTATATTTCTCTAATTATGGACAAACACACGACGTCACAACATCCATGGCGAAGGCGAGATTCGAACTCGCGGCCCGGCCGACCGGCTGATCAGTAGCACGACACTCTGATTTTGGCAGGTTTAGATTTGCTAGTAGCTTTAAGGCATATACAGGGTGTCCGCAAAGTTGGGGTTTTCCTTTACACGACGTGTAGATCTTGAAAACATAAGCAACTTTTCTGAGTACCATATACACCAATGTCCTAAGGGAACCGAGATAAAGGGCTCTGCAACATCAAAAATATCTGAATACCGTCCTGTAGCCGCGACATCCCCCAGTGGTACTAGGACACTAGCTCAACCCGACGATATAACTGGGTCGGGGTCAGTGTGTCAGGTCAGTATGCGACCTTCAACCGACGGTTACGGTCACGCGTGTAGAGATAATCGCGTAGACGTGAATCCCTCAACAAGCACTAGAGACGTGGCTAGAGAAGTGCAAGTATCAAAAACTAAAGTGTGGCAAACGCTGCGTGAAGAGGGGCTGTATCCGTTTCACGTCCAACGTGTACAAGCCCTTCAACCTGACGATTTTCGAGCAAGAGTGCGGTTTTGTGAGTGGTTGCTGCATCAACGTGACAATAATCCGGACTCTTTGAAGTGCATATTGGTGACAGACGAATCTACGTTCACGCGTAATGGGGTGAATAACTTTCGCAACACTCATGTTTGGTCAGTAGAAAATCCGCACGCTGTCCGTCGGGCACATTTTCAACAAACATTTTAGGTGAATGTTTGGGCTGGCATGGTGAACGGTATGCTCATTGGACCATTTATTCTCCCAAATCGATTGGACGGGATGCAATACCTAGACTTTTTACCAAACATTTTGCCTTCCTTGTTTGCCTGCGTCTGCTCGGTAGCGCATCAGCTGATTTCATTTGCTGTTGGAGCGGTATGATTTCGGGCAGAGACGTACTTAGCCCTTCTCGTCAACTAGTTGTTTCTGAAAAGGAAAACCCCAACTGACACCCTGTATTTTGGGTATTTTTTAATCACTGTAAATATAATATGGATGTTTGTTCAGTTCCTGAACTCCGAAAAATATTCAACTTTATGGATGTGGATGTATGGATATCAAAAAACCTGAATGGTTTTGTGGGCATTTCAATCTAAGGTGCCATAATGGTTCTGATGAACGGCAAGTAAATAAATAAATGTTTGGAAATGAGCAATATGTATGAAATTTTTGGTAGTCTGTCATCAAGTAGGTGTTTAATGGCTATCTGCAAGAGGTTTATAGGAAAAAGAAACAGGGGAGGTGATGCTAAATCAGTAAAATCGCATATCAATCGAAGAAAATAATAAAAACATGAATAAAAAATCGACAATGAATTTTATTCAAAAATCAAACATTTCTTTAAATTTTGACTAAACCATATGTAATTTCTTAATATTCAATACGCTGGTGATGTTTCAAGGACAAGCTGTCATCTCGTACTTTGACAATATTTTGTTTACAACATTTCATAGGTGTAGGTTGCTGAAATTTGGTGATTCGATGTTGAAGCTCATTCGTTGTATTTGATGGACTGTAACCCTATAGGTGGAGAATAACGGACTGTTAGTTTGACAATCTTGGCGAAATCCACCCTCAGATTATAATATTTGCATAACGCTCAAGGAGGAAGTCACTGCCTAGACTCAGGCTTACAAGACACATCATTTCCTTGATAGGAACGACTTCGTTAATTGTGTACTCCATCTGACGTACATTCAAGCTCATGAAGCTATCGTAGACGAAGCAAACTGCTCTCGGCTAGTATAAAAAGCTAATACATCAGCATGTTGTGCCTTCTAGACGTCTGCTTAAGTGAACGAAGTGAGTGCCGCTTTAACTGGGGCACTCAATTAATCTCAGAATCGTTGCTTCATTCAAAATGATTGCAATTAGGAGTCATTACGTATAAAGATGTTTCTGGATTAGCGGTGAGAGCGTTTACATTTTTTTACCGGCATGAATAGCTTAAGAGTAAGGGCTGACTTCGGTAACTTCTACCTTGTGCATCTGGGAATGGCCCAGAACGAATTCTGTAGTACAAAGTATAATCAAACTAAATGTGGCAGTGAAAAAGTACTATACATACCTTAGTCACTGAGGGGCGGCTAGCCCCTTAAATTCTGCAGAGCTGCAGAACTGCCAAAACTTTTGCCTTAACAGAAAAAAGCAGTAGTAATTTGATCATTATTTATTTTCCATGTTATCACACAAATAGAAACAATACCGGTCTGCCCTCGCAAGACACGGCGTCGAGTCTGTTTTCTACTAAGAAAGCATTATAATCGACCAATTGTGTACTTGTCATTTTCATCGCGACCGCAGCGTAACATTATTCATGGGCCACTTGAAAAGAGTCTGTGCACTACTTCGACACAAGCCGCAAGCGCTTGCTTTTGTCTCTCTCTCTCTACAAAATCAAATGCGCGATTTAAGCATAACCATGTGCTGCAATTTATACAGATCCGTACAGATCTAATACGAAGTACGATATCTGATTGGTCGGTCGGTGCTCGGTCCTCGGCATTGGCATATTGGTCTTGTCGCGTAACGGGGCTTAAAATTTGAATGCAAACAATTTGCTATTTAGGTATTTTGGGTCTTACGTTGAGTGTCTAGTGACTCTCTGACCGACTGTGGCAGTGTAGAAGGGTAGTGCAAGACAATGGATGTGATTTACAGACTTACGAGCGTGAAACGATTCTAAAAACACACATTTGAAGAAAAAATTGAGCTGAAGGTGTCAGGTCGACCGCTGCCGGACATATTTATAGAAACACAGGGCGTTAGCCGGGGTAACGGCTATACGCGGCATTTCAGCAGGGAGATTTACACCAGAAATGAGAGGATTTGTGGGTGCAACAGGAAGAATGCCCTTTTCGGCTTTCCTTGCATAATTTTCGGCGGTGACAAAGCTTGGACGGAGTTAGGTGTTACAGATTTAGTGCACCTGAGTGAAAAAATTAAGAAGCATAAAAACTCTAAAACACATCTTCATAATTAGAATTAGAATTTGCTTTATTGGGGACTGTTCACACGAGAGCCCAGTTAGATTCAGCATATTGGAGAAATACGTTCTATCAAAAATAATCGATGGTATAAAATTTTGGGAAGCATTTGAATTGGCGCTACGGGGCCACGACGAAACCGAGAGCTCCCAAAACCCGGGAATATTTCGTGGACTGATTAATTTTTCTGCTGAGCTTGATACAACCTTAAGCGAACACATAAAACTTGTCATGAGGAAATAATAAAACAGATTAACAGATCCTTGTATTTGGCGATAATAGCAGATGAAACAACGGACATTTCGGGGAAAACCCAACTGGTAACAATTTTGAGATACGTATTTAACGGCGAACCAGTAGAACGTTTTTGGAATTATATGAATCCCGAAAAATGTGACGCTCATACTCTCAAAAGATATTTTGAGCGTCGTAGGTCCATTAATAGGAAATTTCCCTTACAAACTGATTTCACAAAGCTATGATGGAGCCGCAGTAATGAGCGGACATAATGCTGGAGTAAAGGCAAAAATTAAAAAAAGATATTCATTTGCTCACTATGTGCATTGCTATGCGCATCAGTTAAACCTGATTATGTCCCAAGCTGCTTCCGCAAATGCTCAAGTTCGGGTGTTCTTTGGGAATTTGAAAGATATTTCGGGATTTTATAATAATTCTCCTCAACGCGTAGAAGTACTGAACAGAATTGTGGGAAAAAAACTCCCCAAGGAGCAACAACTCGTTGGAATTTCAATATTCGAACAATAAATGTAGTGTTTGAGAACAGAGAATCACTCATTGAATGCATGGAAGAAATAGAAGAAAATTTCACTAATGAACCGGTTTGCAAGGCAGGTTGCGGTATTCGCCGTATGTTAAACGATTCTGTTTTCGTGTTTTGGTTGACATTTTTTCATCATGTCTTGCCTCATGTCGACATCTTATTAAACCAGTTGCAGAATAGAAAAACCGAGCCAGCGCAAGTTAAAACAGCTATCGATAATCCTGAAAAATGTATTGTCGATGTGAGAAATAAAATTGATGACATTATAAATGAAGCCAAAAGTGTTTGCACTGAACCCCAAGGCAACAAAAGGACACCTCGTAATAATAGCAGTCACTATCACCGAGTTGCCGCAACAGAAGTATGCGAGAATATAGTGAATTCTGCAAATGACAGATTTCAACTAAAAGATCATTTGGTAGCCGCATCCCTTTTTTTCCCGAACACTTTGAGGAATACTGTGGTAAGTTTCCTGATGACAAGTTGGAAACTACCTGCTTGGCTTATTCCGAATTAGAAAAAAGTCGCTTAAAGACAGAGTTGTCTGTTATTTATGCACGGAACGATTGCCGAGACTTACATGGAACTCTGTCTCTTTTCAAGTTTTTGATACAAAATAGTTTGGAGGAAACACTAAAAGAAACAAAAAAGCTATTAGAAATTATTGTTACAACTCCTATGTCAACATCAGAGGCTGAGCGAAAATTTTAAACATTGAAAAGAATCAAGACCTTTCTTCGAAATACTATGACTCAGGATCGCCTTACAGCGTTGTTGATGCTGTCCATTGAAAAGCAATTTATTTCGACCGTGGAAGATTTCAACGGGAAGGTGATCGACAAATTTCCTGCCAAGAATGAGCGCAGGATCGAACTGACATATAAAAAATAGGTAAGTTCAGATTTGCAGAACACCTGTTTTATTTTGCCACGAGCCGCCACTGCCTCAGTGGCAAAGGATATTATTGACCAAGCATTTTCATAGACTAAGACGCATAGCAATATGCGTACCTTCCCACCAACCTATGTATGTATGTAGGTATGTATGGGGGATCAGGTGCGTTGTATGCTCAAGTTAATTCCAAGTATCTGGGATTGCTGGGTTTCATGGGACATGTCGCACGTCCCGTTCGTAGTTAGCAGGTGTTTCGTGCGCAGACGATAATCTAGAACATTAAATTTTACAGTCCGACTCTTGCTCCTTACAGATGTAACTGAGCCCGTTGCTCCAGCGCTTAACGATCACACTTAACAACCGAAATTAAATGAATTCCATAGGGCGAGGTAAGCTCTTGTTGAGATGTAGTCGAGAGTAGAAGTTATGTGGTGAAGTTATTCCTATATTATGGAAAGTTGAGGCAAATTAATCCAGCCAAAAAGATTTGCGAGTTTCTTCACCTCCTCAAGGCATTTAAGTGTCAATATATCTACGGAGTGATTCAAGAAAAACAACTGTAAATTTGAATTGTTTCGTAAGAGCACTGCTTACATGTTTGTTGCGCTGCTACTGTTTAGAGAAGGACTGTCCGACTGATCGATGGCTCTTCTCTAACGAACGGTCTTGGGCCCCTCTTACACCGCTATGCCATCATGCTTTGCTCCACCGAACGTCGTACATTTAGAACTGGCTGATTCGACCGCTCCTTTGTCACTACGGTATCAAGAGTGTGGAAGAATTCACGCTAGGAGGGTTTCCCCAGTTCTGCTAACCTTGGGCAGTTCAAAAATCGGAATAACAAAGTTTCTTTGACCTTCTCATAGCAGCCGCGGTGCTCTGGCATATAGGCTTCTGCTTGCAGGTCTGCTTCATTGTAAGAAAATATACAGGGTGTTCATTTGAAAACTTCCCTCCACGGACTTATCGAAAACCACTGATTAAAAGAAAAAACGGCAAGTCACGACAAAAGGTTTGTCAAGGGGGTCAACTTCTTAACCAAAAACTACCTCTCCCTCTGCCCCCCAGGGTCATCGCTCAACAATTTTAAATGACAATGAATTTCGAGTAATAGCTTGTTTGAAAGGTCTTTCAAAGTCCCTTATTTTGACGTTTGGTTTTCTTAAATCAGTCAGTACGTTTTTAAGAAAATTAGAAAAATCTTTATTTATCTTACTTTGTTCAGATAGGAAACAAAAACACACGAAAATATTACTTTTCATTTCAATAGGTGTTCAAAATGTTGGCCGGTACTGGCCAAACAATGATATAGGTGATGTTCAAATTCTTGACGGACATTTTCAAAAACATGTGGGATATAATGGCAGCTTTCGATGAAGGGTTGACAAAGTTCATCCAAACATTCAGGTTGGGGAGTAAACACAATAAATTTCAAATGGCCTCTTAGGAAAAAGTCTAATAGGGACAGATCAGGAGATGTAGCAGGCCGTTCAATCAGCCTTCTTCGCCCTATCCATTTATCTGGAAACATTGATTTCCTTTCGGCTAGTGTTTAAACCATTTTGGAAGAAAAGTCTGAAACAATAGATTAATTTTCACTGTCCCAAGATAGTCACAAAGGTATTTAAGGTATTAATTTATTTCTTTGCCTTAGCAACAAATAACTGAACAGGTAAAACGATAGATATACAGTTCGCTTAGGATATCTGCGTCGAAGAAAAGAATGTTGTTGTTATTTGGTGGTTGTCACGTCTTCCGAATTGCTGTTTATGTTGGCAGTTTCCGTTTTAAATTATAAACGACTTGTAGACTTGACAAACCATAACGGCCAACATTTTGAACACTTAGTGGAATAAAAAGTGTTTTTGTTTTCTATTATATATTTATAGCCGAAAAAGACTGATGAGTTTTTGCATACAATAATAATAATGCATACCTCCTGCAAATTACAAAATGATCTAATTTGTTGTATTATTAAAGTGCCAGAAATCTGCAACATGAACAAAGTAGTCAGTAGATAAATAGTTGATATTTCAAGAGATTCTTCTGTTCTAAACAACAGCTTATTTACCCTCACATGGCTAACCTATATGAGCTGTTATAAAAATAATGTTAGACTTGTTTCATTTATTGTTTTTCGTAGTTGTGCAAAATTTTAAATATGCAACCTTTCCTCTACTGTTTTTCTGTTTTTACAGACATGGCACTATAATGTTATTTATATGCAATAATTTGCAGCAAAACTTCTTTGAGAAGATACTTTCTAATTTTATCGATAAATGTAACTAAACAGTAAGCAAACACTGTAAAAAAAACTGCAGGTGGTAAAAGTCCATCATGTGTCCACAATTTATAACTCTACCATCTGAACAACCTGGCTTAGATAAGTAAATCACTATCGTGTCGAGTCTCAATTGTTGGATTTTTTCACATAGCTGTTCCTGTTATCGAGTGGTGATTTAGGTTATGTGATATACTGAATATTATTATCCTTGTCTTTTACTAGAGGGATTAGTTGCTTACTCTTGTCTTACCTTGTCACATTCATCCATCTATGTCAAGGAGGGTAGGAGTTTGTCGATTGATAACTGCCTTTGTTCAGTATAATTCTTGAGTTACGTTATCTTGTCTTATCTTACGTTCTGTCCTGTAGAGTGGACAATTTCTTGGGTATGGGGAGATAGCTTGGCGGAAAACTTGATGTCTGCACTTATCAACAAGTGGTAATACAATTTGTTCTCTTCTGAGACTACTGAATGTTATGCTAAATTTGACTTATCCATTCTTTAATTTTATTTACCTATTTCGACTATCTTTTATCTTCGTGATTAAGTATTGATTACTTTGATTAGTTCGTTTTTCTTATCTTACCTTCACGATATATTTTCTTGCTTTTGTAGATTCATGATTTTGGACGTGTCATAACTCATGTCCCGATCTTGATCTTATATTACCTGATTTTGACTTTTTTATACCGATATTGACATTTAGTGCTGTGTGGTTTCGATAAATTTTTTGTATGTCAGATCCCATCACTCTATCTAAATTTGTCTTTTTTTTTCTCTTCGTTTGATCGAATCCTGGTGGCTTTGGTTCACTTAGATTTAGAATATTTTTTTTGTTTTGGTGGGAATTTTTGTGTGAATTTGGATATTCTCTTTGATCCTTTAGGTTTTCGGTAGCTCAACGTTATTAATTATCGTCGGTTATCTACACTGTAGAGACCCTCCTACTCCAAAGAGAGGGGGGGGTTGTCACGTGCCAAAATCACGTTACCCTTTTTTCTCTATTTATCACTTATCAGTAACTTGAATTTCTCCTCGTTGATAATAGGGTGCCCATTCCTAGGCCAAACCCCTTTTCAATGATTTTTTTTGCAAATTTAATAGTTTATTGATTGTGTAATTTCACTCGTGTTATATTATACAGGGTGACTTTGAAGTTGAGTCATTAATTTTCAGATAATGATTGTAGAAGGAAGATAAACCAAAATATGTGTGTAAAAATAAAAAAAATAAAAAAAAAATTTTTACCTTGTTTTATAAAGTATCCTCCCGACAAGTATTTCAGTGCGGACCTGTATTTGATCGTGAGGTCCCCTGTGAGGTCTTAAGTCACCTGATTCACGAGCCCGTTGTACTACATTAACAAAGGCAATAGGGGTTGGTTGCACTCGATTGGGAAACCGATCCGCATAAACATGTGCCATTTTTTATTTCGTTTGAGCCACGCAACAGATACCACTTTCACTGACACTGACTGTATACAAATGACTGAGATACTTGTAAAAACATCGTTCCAAATTCTTTCGCTTTCTTGTTTCCGATGCGATGAACCGATACGGCGGATTATATCCGTTGTCGCCAAACACGAGTACCTAATATTATTATTGAGACAGGGCGGTACTCAAAGTTCCAAAGGGCTATAACTTTGTTACTTTAATTTTACCAGAAAAATGGTAAAGGAAAAAAACATTTCTTTTGATCAGATCTACTCACTGTTAAAATAAATGACTCAACTTCGAAGTCACCCTGTATAGGCCCCAAGCGCTCTTTCATATACTAGCACCCTTTTCTTTTTGTTGTGTGACTTAAGTTTAGTTATTTTGGGTCCTCGTCTTTTCTCCCCCAGTCAGTTGCATCGTTGCAGTTTTGCAAATTGGAAGCCATCCCCTTGAAAAAATCCTGATGCGAACATGTTTTTTTCAAGGGGATGGGCGCTTGTGGCCTAATATCCCAGAGTCTGGAGACGGTAAAAAGACCCCTGCACCACGACCTCAACGGAAGCTGGAAAGCGAATCACAGTATACGTAACCTTCTAGAGGAAGGAATCTTGAGTGGCCTTGAAGATGATATATTTTATAGGAAGCCAACTAACGGAGAAAAACTGCAGAGTTTTTTGCTGAGAAAGAAAAAAAAAAGAAAATCATTGAAAAGGGGTTTGGCCTAGGAATGAACACTCTATTATCAATGAGGAGAAATTCAAATTACTGATAAGTGATAAATAGAGAAAAAAAGGTTACGTGATTTTGGCACGTGACACTGAACAAAGTAAGATAAATAAAGATTTATTTTAAAAAATCAAACCTCAAAATAAAGGACTTCAAAAGACATTTCAAAAGAGCGATAACCCATGTCATTTGAAATTTTTAAGGGAATGACCCTGGAGTGACAAGGGTAAAAGAGGGGTGAAGTAGTTTTTGGTCAAGAAGCTGTCCCACTTGACAAATCTTTCGGCGTTTTTTCTTGCAATCAGTGGTTTTCGATAAATCGGTGGTGAGAAGTTTTCAAACGAACGAATATCCTCGATTTTTTCCA